AGCAGCAGCCACAACCGCCCTGAATCCCCCCCCTCCGCCCAATTTCGTCCAAAGCCCACAAACGTCCTAACTGACCCTCCGTAGAGCAGGACCCCCACAAGAGCCGCCCCCCCTCTTTTCCAAATAAAAGGACGGTTCTCAAGAGTCGCTGCTCTGCCGGGGCTACAGTTCATCCCCAGATTATAGAGACCAGGAAAGGTTTCCCTCCTCCCATCTGTTCTGCAAATAAATAAATAAATAAATAAAGAGCCCTGTTCCTGGCCAGTTTATGGCCCTCCTGGCCCCTGTACCCACAAGCAGGTGCTAAACAGAAACAGGCAAGACCCCTGCCTCTGTAAAAGAGGCCAAGTGCGAAATGTAGCCTCTCTGAGGGGTGGGTTTTCTTGTTTCCCCTTTTCCCCCCACAAGTTCCAATGATTAAGTTTTGCTTCTGCTAATCATACTGCATTTACTCTCCCCACTCTGGGAAAGCTTTCCAGTTTTAGTTGAATTCCTTTTCCAAGTGTGTAGGAAGTTGCTGCTCGGATGACAGGATTGTCGGCACGGATTGGCAGGGATGGCGGTGGTGGTGGGGGGAGTGGGTTGGTCTCAAAGAGCCAAGCTCTCCCCAACCCTCTCCTGTTGCTGTTGACCTTGAGGTCCCTGTGCCTGCATCCTCTCTTCCCAACCAGGAGGCCAGATGCCGCTGAGGAGACCCCGCCAGTTCTGGGGGAGAGGGGTCAGGGCCTTTCTGCAGCTCCCCTGGGCCAGTTGCTCCCTTTCCCCCCATTCCCTGGCAAGCACCTGTATTCCTGTAGAGCTCAGGGGCTGGATGAGTGCTGCAAGAGAAGGCTCTCAGCAGGTCCCTTTCATTGCAGGAACAACCGTGGGAAGGTGATCCGGCCCCTGCAGTTCCAGTCCACGGTGGCCCCAGGGACGGTCGCAAGAGTGGAGCCCAACATCAAATGGTTTGGTAAGCCTGCCTTCTCAGGGCAGCATTTTTTGGGAGGCGCTTCTTGGGTGGAGAAAGGTTTCCTGAGAGTCCCCCTTGTGTCGGTGCGGAGCCAAGGGACTGTCTCCTGGGTGCTCCGGAAGCACCTTTTTGCTCCTAGCCCAGGGATCTTGGGCACCACTGGGGCCCTGATGTGTTCTCTCCGCACAGGGAACACCCGTGTGATCAAGCAGTCGTCCCTGCAGAGGTTCCAGGAGGAGATGGAGACGGTGATGAAGGATCCCTACAGAGTGGTCATGAGGCAAAGCAAACTGCCCCTTTCTCTCCTCCACGACCGCATTAAGCCTCACGTGAGTCCGGCTTCTGAATCGTTTTTGGGAGGGGCACTTCTCGTCTCGTGCCAAGCAGCTGCGGAACTGAGTTTGTTCCTCTGTTGGTGTGTGACTGTGTATATACACACAGGCATGCATGTGTAGGTGGCGAGCTGCCCAGGAAGCATTCTCTCTTCCATACGCACAAATACACCCTACTCTTCCAATTGCAGTTGACCTAGGGCACTGGTTCCCATGTGCTTAGACTGCAATTCCCAGAAGTCTTCACTACCAGCTGTGCTGGCTGAGGTTTCTGGGAGCAGCAGTTCAAGAACACCTGCGTGAACCAAGGTTGGGAAGCACTGACCTCAGATGAGGGCAGAAACAGCTAGTGGAGGTGCTTCACCTGGGTGTGCACAACGCAGAACGGACCCCCAAGTGTCGTAGGCCCAGCTGTTTCCAAGCAGGCCCCCACCTGCCCCACGGAGCTCTTTGCTCTCCGAGGGAGCGCCAGGCCGGCTGCCTGGAGGAGGTTCTGCTTTTCACTGGAAGCCAGGGAGGAGCCAGCTTGGTGTGTGAAGCGCCCTTGCTCCTCCTTGCTTGCAGTGCTTGGGTGGAGTCAGAGAAGCCCAGCAGGACGTGGGCTCTCAGCCCCTTAGAGCAGCCCTTCGCAGCCTTTTTTTTTTTTGGAGGGTCGGGGGGTCCTATGGCCATAAACACAAAAGGAAAGAACCCGGGCTGTACAAGCTGCAGAACAAACCTTATAAGGTGGTGTTTGAATAATTGTTTCCAGTCTGCGCCCCCTTCAAAGGTGCCAGGGCCCGCCGGGAGGCCATGTGGCTCATGCTGCGAATGGCCGTCTGAGAGCGGCAACGCGATTACTCTCCCTGGATTTGAGTGCAGCTGCTTTCTTGTTCAGGAGATGCTTCTCCCACCCCCCCATCCAGGGACAGTCCTACGCAGTTGTTTGGGGTTTTTAGCGTTCCCTGTAGGAAGCAATAATGAGCTCTTGTGGCCTCCTAGCCTGATGTTGGTGGGGAGCGTGGGGTGGTGGTGGAGGGCCGTGCCTGTTTGGCATTGTGTCTCCCCTGGATTGCAGGATCCCTCCCCTGGGCCATGCTTTCATCTCCAGTCAAGAATCCCCCCTCTGATGTGACCTGCTAGCCTGGTTTCTCTTTTGTTGAATGATTTTGTGTCCTCAGGGGGTTTCCATGTGTGTCTAATAAAACAACAAAAAACATCCCAAATTAAGAAAAGGACTCGGTGCAGCTCAGGCGCGCATCACTAGAGGAGCAATTCTTGCTAGCTCGAGGAGACTCTGTTCCGAGAAAGGGCCTGGCCTCTGGAGCTGGTTTTTAAAAGGAGAAGTCAAAACATGAGGCAGATTATCCTTGTCAAGCTCAGGTTTGGCAGGGCCTGAAACCTTGTCAGTGAAACAAAGCAGAGATGAAATGTTATCTCTGCTTTGTATCGTTTTCATCCTTGTGGCGTGGGTTACGGTTTGCCGTGTACGGCGGCTTCAGCGCTGAAGCCCTTCTCCGAGGGAAGCTCGGTCTTCGGTCTTCTCTGCGGCTTGTCCAACAAGCAAGGCTCTTTTTGTGAACAAAGGCACGGCTAGCATGACGTCTCCTTTTCTCTCTTCAGAATTCCAAAGTCCACATTCTTGACACTGAAACGTTTGAAACAACATTTGGCCCCAAATCGCAAAGGAAGCGGCCGAACCTCTCTGTGAGTGATGTGCAGTCGCTGGTGGAAAACGCCATGGCGGAGGCCAGCAGCTACGACCAAGACAAGGACCGGGATCTGGTGACCGAAGATACTGGCGTGCGGTCAGTCAGTTGGTGGCTTTCTGCTTTGCTGGGGATGCAGGAGTCCTCTGCTGCCCCTCCTGCCCCCTCATTGCCTGAGGCAGCAAAAGGCCAGGTTTCCCTCAAAGGACAGTGGATGTGGGTAGTAGGTAGCTCTCCCCTCCCCGCCCCCCGACCTTGTAGAAGAAGGTCCAGGCTGCTGTGACAGTTCCGGCCATCTCTTACAGGGATGAAGCACAAGAGGAAATCTACAAGAAGGGGCAGTCCAAGCGGATCTGGGGAGAGCTTTACAAGGTACGGTGTGTGTGTGTGAGAGAGAAGAGATGGGGGGCTGGTTCTGGGCCCCCACCTGACTTCTTCTCACCCAGTGGAGCAATGCCAGCGTGCGTGCGTGCATGCGTGTGTGTGTGTGTGTGTGTAGATGGGGGGCTGGTTCTGTGCCCCCACCTGACTTCTTCTCATCCAGTGGAGCAATGCCGGTGCTGCTCTCTTCCTAGGAACCCTGAGAGTGGCTCCTGGAAGGCCTCGGGCCGAGGCTGGCGCCAGGCCTCTTGGATTAGGAGTTCTAAAGCAGATGGAGCCACTGGAGAAGGGTTCCGTCCGCTTCCTCTGCCTCGGAGTCCAGACTGCGGCGCTTCAGAGCTGGCGTTCTTGCCAGATGGGGTGGAAGAGGACTCGGGGCTTGGCCCCCACAATGTTGTGCCAGGCTTGCTGGCATGAGAAGCCACGGCCCTTGCGTTTGCGGCTTGGAAGGGCAGAGTCGAAAGCCTGTGAGGAGGGTCAGGATTGGGCCTGGGGGATCTGGGCTGGGTCACGTGGGGCGCCGAGCATCTGAGTCGATGCTTTTGCCCAGCTGGACAGCTCTCCTGCCTTCTCCCCCCCCCCGAACGGACAGGTGATTGATTCGTCCGATGTTGTTGTGCAAGTGCTGGATGCCAGAGACCCCCTGGGGACCCGCTCCCCCCACGTGGAGGCCTACCTGAAAAAAGAAAAGCCTTGGAAACACCTCATTTTCGTCCTGAATAAATGTGACCTTGTACCTACATGGGCCACGGTGAGTCCCTCGGAGGCGGATGGTTGGGCACTCGGCATGCGAATGCTCTCGTAGGGTCCCAAGAACAGCTGCCCAGTCCTTGGTCCGAAGGGCCTCTTTTTCAAGGGGTGTCCGGCTTTGGCCTGAATCCCAGTCGCCCGAGAGGATGCTTTGAGCCAGCAAGGAAACACCTTTTGAAAGGGCATTGGGCTGTTTTAGAGCAGAAGAACCACTTCTTCCGGGGTCCACCTCCTGGACCTTGTATGGTCTGCCATCCAACCCCCCCCCCGACACGCTCATCCCATTTCTTTATCCATGGAGGTGACGGCCAGTTGTGCTTCTTGGCCCAGAATGGGGTGGGGGTGGGCGCTTCTGGAAGTGGCACAGAGAAGCCGGGGGGGGGAGCAGGGCTAGAGGGCGCAAGGGGTCCTTTCAGGCCACAGCATCTGGGAGACGGCCGCGCCAGAGAGGAAGCATCACAGGTTGGCCCCGAGGAGATTTTGTGAGCGCCTTGGTGCTCAGGCAGTGGTGCTGCGCAAGGCGGGGAGAGTGATCGCGGTTGTTTCTCTCTTTCTAGAAACGCTGGGTGGCCGTTCTCTCCCAAGAGTACCCAACGCTGGCTTTCCACGCCAGCCTCACCAACCCTTTTGGAAAAGGAGCCTTCATCCAACTCCTGAGGCAATTTGGAAAGGTATGCCGTGCTTTTATTTTAGCAATTCAGTGTCTAGGAATCCTCCGGGAATACAGGGGATGCTCAGCTTGTGCCTCTGTTTGTGGGTGGGGATGAGCAGGGCGAGGAAGCCCCGTTTCAAAGGAAATTCAGGTCTGGCTCTTCTGCCCTGCATCTCTCACTGGGAAAGCAGGAGGGAGGATAGACTCTCCAGGTGGTTTGTCCAGGTAGTTCAGGTGCCCAGTTGTGGGCCACTTGCTGGCATGGGGGGCAGACCTGGGGCTCTGTTAGAGCTTGCTAAGAGTGTTCCCTGGCACCAAGCTCTGTAGCTGGAGTCTGCTGGGTGAGGGTGGCAGTGGTCTTTTAAGTAGGTGCGTGCACGCAAATGCAAGTATGCACCTCCTTTTCCTTCCTGGTTGAGAATCAGCCCCCACAAATCAAGAGGCTTCTGGCCCCACAGGACTTCTCATGGTTTCTGCACTTTTCAGAGAGCAGGGAAGCAGCAGCAGCAGCACCTCTGAGAGCAGGCAAAGTCCTGGTCACTTGTGGGGGGGAAAGAGGTGTTTGGGTGGCCAAAGCACCAGTTAAGGAAGCACCTCCTGCCTTCCTTGGTTCTGGAGGAAGCCCAGAGCCATTTGGCGGGTGGCCCTCGGAGAAAGACCTTGCCTTGTGTAGCTGACTCAAGAAACCAAACCCCTTCCCCAGGCCTGACTTGTCTCCTAGAATGAGGTGGCTGAAAAGGGCCCAGGGAATGGCGCCCCTGGCATCGGCCACATTTACAAGCAGCAGGTGCACTTTCAACCTGAAATGTTCCCAGTGGAGGGATGGGGAGTACCTGCTTCTCTCCCAGTTTTTCTGGGATATGGATAGGAATTACACGCCTCTCCCCTCCGCCCACAGTTGCATGTCGACAAGAAACAGATCAGCGTGGGCTTCATTGGCTACCCTAATGTAGGGAAGAGCTCGGTGATCAACACACTCCGCTCCAAGAAGGTCTGCAACGTGGCTCCCATCGCCGGTGAGACGAAGGCAAGTGCCCCGACCGCTGGGGGTGTCCTCTGGCAGGGCAGACAGACACAAAGGCGATGCTGGCGCAGAGGGGAGGCCCTTGGGCGCCTGGCCATCAGCGCTGGGGGACAGAGGCGGATCAGGGCCTTCCAGGGGTTGCTCTTGCTTGTTGCTTGGCAGCCCCAAGAGGTGCTGGCACGTCTGATCCCACGTTTACATCCACAGGTGTGGCAGTACATCACTTTGATGCGCCGCATCTTCCTCATTGACTGCCCAGGAGTCGTGTACCCCTCTGGAGACACGGAAACGGACATCGTGCTGAAAGGAGTGGTGGGTGTGCACGCACATGCGTGTGTTTTTGGCCCAAACAGGCCTGGCCTTCGCACTTCGTTGCCAAAGTGAGGATCAGGTTCAGGGGCTTAAACCGCCTTCGGACGGACATCCTCGGTGGCTGGTGTCCTGTGGGCTTCACCCTTCAGAGCCGCCCCTTTTCCTTCTTGCCACTCCAGTTGGGCTCAAGTACAGCCGATTTTTTTTCTTCTGGTGTGCGAGGCTGATTCTTCTGGTGCCTTCCAGGTTCAAGTAGAGAAGATCAAGACTCCAGAAGACCACATTGCTGCAGTGCTGGAGAGAGCCAAGTCAGAATATATTAGCAAGACGTACAAAATAGACTCCTGGCAGGATGCGGAGGATTTCCTTGAGAAACTGGCCTTCCAGACTGGGAAGCTGCTCAAGGTGAAGGAAGCTGCCTTTTCTTCCACAGGGGAAGAGGCAGGGCTGGTGAGGAGGAGAGGCAAGCCCCTGGGAGGGGGCGAGAGGGTTGGCCGGAGCGCTGAATGCCTGCCTAGGAGGGTCTGGGTTTGGGAAGTGAAGCCACTGGAAGAGGAGGAGGCGTGTAGCTCTTCCCTCTGCCCTTTTTGCTGGCCATGGGGTCTGAAAGTGCCCGCCCATGATTCCAGGGAGGAGAGCCGGATGTGCGCACAGTTAGCAAGATGGTGCTGAATGACTGGCAGAGGGGCCGCATCCCCTTCTTTGTGAAGCCCCCAACTATGGAGCAAGAGCCTCAGGTAAGGTCTGCGTGAGCACTGTTTTCCTTTTGAGACAGAACGTTACCAGTCTTCTTCAGGAAGGAAGGAATTCCGTCTGAATAGGAAGCGGCAGCTGTTCTGTGGGATCGCTGCAATTGCAAACGCTGGGACTGTCGGACGAGGCCCTTCCCTCGGGAGCCGTGGCAGAGAACCAGGTGGTCCTAACATCTGGCAGCGGGCTCCCTCATCTTCCGAGATGGTTGCTTCTAAGGGGTTTGCTCTTCTCTGCTTCTGGATTGCAACCCTTTGGTTCTTTGTTTCAAGTCAGAGCTGCTTCCCTCTGAGGAAGCTGCCTTTCTTTTGGCCCACTGGGCACACAGCTATCACTTGTCCCTGTGGCATCAAGTGGCTCCCCAGGGTTTGGGCAGGGTCCTTCCCAAACTTGCCAGGGCCTGGAGCTGCGATCATCATGTTCAAAAGGTGATCACGTCACCCTTGGGAAGACAAGGTCTTACGGTCGGAACAGGAACCGTTTGAGGATTCATGTTTAGAGAGCTATTGGGGGCAGGTAGGGTGTTCTGTTACATGGCAATGGTGATAATGATGATGCATTTCGTACAGATTTTGGAGGTGCTCCTTGATTATCCTACCAGAGGAATCGGTATTCTGCTCACTTCCCAAGAGCCTTGCTCAGAGGTTTGCCAGTGGAAGGAGGTGCCAAAATCATCTTGGGTAGAACCGACACGATGGATCTTGTGTGTGTATGTGTTGGTAACCAGGGTTTGCGGATGAGGTTTCATTGCTGCCTCTTTCAGCCTCCAGTAGCGACCCCACCAGGGCCCGCAGCGACCTGTCCGAGCGAGAGAGCTGGAGAGACCTCTGAGCCAGCAGAGATGCAGACCGAACAGGCCAGCAGCAGCAGCAGCAGCAGCAACCACCCCGATGGAGCAGCAAAATGGCCCTTGGCTCATGTGCGGCAGAACTTTGGGAAGATCAGCGTGGCCCCTCAATTCTTACAAGAAGACCTGGTCCCCGTGGATGTCTTGGATGCTGATGAGAGCGAGAGTGATCTGGAGGAGGAGGAGGAGGCAGCGGCGGCAGGGGAGCAGCAGCAGCACCCTTGCCCCCGGGGAGAAGCAGCCCGCCTGTCCTCCTGCAAAGCAGGCCCCCGGCCAGACTCCAAGGCAGTGCTGCAGTCCCTGGAGGAAAAGATTGCCAAGTGCAAGAAGTTCTTGGAAAAGGCCCAAGCCAAACGCTTCTCGGCTGTCAGGTGGGAGCCCTTTTGTCACCTCCGTTGGAGGGGGCCCCAAAGGCTAAGCAAGGCCTGCCTTCGGTGGCAACAGAAGAACTGTCCAGCCATTTGCTGCCTCCAGGCTTGCTTCAGCCAAGGCTCTCCACCCCGCAGCCCGCCAGGAACTGGGCCCAGTGGGCTCTTTGCCTCTGGCAGTTTTAGGAAAGGCCTCCGGCTCTGAGCACAGCTTGGCTACTACTTCTTCCTGTGGCAACGAGGCCAGTGTTATTTACTGCTTTTCTGGTGTGCGTGGCCGTGCTCTCGCTCGGCAGTGCCACTGCAACATGGCCACTAAATCCTCTGAGGCAATGAGGAGGGAGGCAGGAGCCCTTGCTACATCACAGAGAGAAGATGATGATGCAAGATTCTAAATCTTTTCTTTCCTGCCTCATAGGATCCCCAAAGGACTCAGTGAAAAAGTCTTTGCAAAATCACACGTGGACTCTATGGCTCTTGCAACGGAGGCAGCAGGAGGTAAGAGGGCACTCTTACAGCCTTCCCATGCTCCATGGAAGGCTGTCCCTGGCCATCTTGCTTCTGCAGGGGAGCCCTCTGTGATGCATCCTGCCTTTTGAGGCTACCCAGGGTGGGGCGTGTAAAGTTGCTGGTGAGAATCCACCCTTGTGCTCCTGGATGGGTTGAGCCTGTCCTGGGGGCCGAGCAGCTAGAAGAAGGCCAAGCTATCCTAACACAGAGTCTCTGGCATTAGTCAACCACAGCCACCCTCACTTTGCCAGGTGTGGCCCTTCCAAAAGAATTGGGCCGCCTTCCTGAGCAAAGCTGAGTTGGGCCTTCCACCTTTCTTGAAATGTTGCTTTTCAGGAAAAGATCTGAGGAAAGCGGAGAAAAGGAGAAGGGAAGAGGAAGAAGAGCAGGACACAGACGATGGTCTGGGGATGAAGCCCCACAAAAAGCAAAGCTCGAAGGAGGTGGGTATCCGCAGGCAGCCTTTGTAGCTCCCCTGGATTGTGAGCACAGTTCCTTGCCCAGTGTCTGTTAACTTGGCACAGAACCTGCTTTCTGTGTAAGCGCAACTTTGGTATCTCAAGAAAAGCAAGTCCCTGCTTCTCACGAGAACAAATTCCTCTGACTAATGCCAACCCTGTGACTTGTTGCACTTCTGGTGCTTGGTGTTACTGACATAGGGTGTTGGTGCAGAGGCTGGATGTGTGAGTTGAGGTGACGTCCTGGCAGAATGGCCTTTGTAGTTTTGCCCACGCTTGTGTCATCCCTCTCGCACACAGCTTAATATTGATATCCCTGCTGCCTTGGGGGGGCGGTAATGGGGGTGCGGGCAGAGGGCAGAGTTTTTTCAGTGTGGCCATCAGTCTAGGAGAACACCCGTGCCGGGAAGGTCTATGTGCTGCTGCTTGCAGAGAGGAGCAGAACATACCACCTCAGGCTACAAATTTTTAAAATTCAGCAGTAATGTAAACTTACCTCTTTTGCCTGGTTTTCAAAGTGGGTTGGGAAAGAGCTATTTGGCGATTCCCCCCCCCCCCCGTACTGTGAGCAAACATCCTTGGCTCCTGTACGTTGATTTATGGGTGCATGTGTCCCATTTGAATCTGCTGTTTTGGTTCTGTTTTCACAGCGGAGGAGAGCGGAGCGGCAGCAACAGACAAAGAAAGTTGGTGTCCGATACTATGATACTCATAACGTCAAGAATAAAAACAAGAACAAGAAGAAACAGGACGTTGGGGAGCAGAGGCCAAAAACAAAGAGAAATAAACATAAGCGAAAATAAAGAAAGAGAAATAAACATGGGTCTTTGGCTCTGGCAGCTTTCTTCCTTCCTGCACTGCTCTGAGTAGCTGGAGGAAATCTTTAAATTCCACATGTCACAGAGGAAAAAAATAAACAGGTGCTGCAAGTTCTTGTTGCCAAATACTATTGTTTTCAAGGTGCCTGTGATGAATTCACATGATTAACACTGGGAACTGAGGCTGTATGCACGTGCAAATGTGTGTAGTTGTTCTAGAAAAAAACATCTTTCTGTTCGTGATGAACATGTCAACTACAAGCCTCATGGTTTTACCAGACAGGGAAGCCTGCAGCTGCTTTTCCTGGAGCGATTTTACGTAATCTGGTCATAAGAGGGTGAGAGGCTGATTAGCTGCTGTTTGGTGGGCAGCTGGGAATACTTGCAAGTTTTCCTCTGCAGTTGGTGGGAACGTAAGGCAATGAAACAGAGAAATGGAAGCCTGGTTGGAGAACAAACTGCTGATACCCCAACCAAGCTCTAGTGCAGGAAGAGCTGGTTGATGGGGAAACGCTAATTAAAGATGCCAGATTTTGAGAATCCTCACTTACTTTAATGTGCCTTTGCCCAGGCTTCTTGCTTGTTGTGAGGTTGAGACCTGTCCAGTACTAATAGATTACACAATTTCTGCATTAAAAAAAATCTTGTCGGAAGTCTCCAGGGGGTAGGAAAGGCTGAGGCAAATCCCAAACCAGCTGAGAAATGATTAGAATTCAATTTGGATGTGTATCTGGAGTTAGTTGGGGCAAAAGGGAGCAGTTTGGGAATGGGCTGACGCTGTAAATTATTAAAGAATGGTCTGAAAACATACTGCTTTGCCGCTTGGGAAGCCCATCTTGCCTCCTTTTTGAAGGTCTACTTCTTTGGTGCAATGATGCCTTCAAGCTGTGCCTAAAAGGAAAAACCAGATAAGGAGTCAGCATGTCTCTTCACCCAAAAGGCACCCCCCCCCGAAAGGTGTTGCAATACCAGGGATGGGGATAAGCTTTGGTGGGTAGGTGGCTGCTTTTTTTCACATTCCTTATTCCATGATTTGTACATAAGCTTCTCTTATTGTTGGCATGCAGAACAGTTGCATAATGAATACTGGAGACCTGGTACTGCCTCCTGTCCAGAACTTTCATTTCATTATTTCTCTATCTCTCTGTCGCTGTGTAAACTATGTCTTGGGCAATTGGATATGCAGAAGACTTGAACCACGGACTACCCATCTTGGGGTTGCCAGCTCAGATGAATGCACCCGTATGGCCTTTGATGATAACAGTTTATTTTAAAGCATGCTGCAGAACCCATCTGCTCAACAATTCTCAGTTCTCCAGCTCTTCGTAAGGCTTCAAAGGGCTGCAGGCCTAGAGGTGGTTTGCAGTGACCGCCCAGCTCCACTATGTAGTCAGCCTTGCCTGCCCGGAGCCCAGCCCAGCGTCAGTGGGTTCTAATGGCTGAGCTGGCCCCTTGCAGGGAAGGCAGAAAAAGCTTTGTGAAATCAGCAGTGAATCTCTGCTGGGGTTGGCCTTGAGTCATGTGAGAACTGAGAACAGGAAAAAAAACACCTAAGAAGAAGCTTCTAGGCCCCTCGGTCCATTCCCATGCAAAGCTCAACCCACCTTGAGTTGCTGGTTGGTCCGTTTCAGGAATTGGACTTCCTCTGTGTGCTTCTTCTCTTCTACCTGCCGTCTCTCAAGCTCCCTCTTTTCAATGGCTTCGCATTTTGCCTTCTGCTCGTTGACCTGCCTCTCCAAGTCACGTTTTTCATCCTCTAGGTCTGCAATCTTGGGAGAGCAAGGTGTGTTTGTCAGAGCTAATGCCTGATGGAAACCAGTGGCGCAAAGCCCATTTCATGATCATTCTTTGATCACGTTGGACAGCTTAATCTTGGGCAAGAGTCCTATCTTGACCAATGCAGGAGGAAAAGGCCATGGAAGAGGGAGGCTTGAAATAGCAAACTGGGGAAGTGCCAGGTTGGGAGTAGTGACCTCTCTCCCATTTTGGTTGGTGGACTAGGTAGCAGTGCAAACCCTCCAGGACCTGTTCAGCTTCTTGTCCCTCTAAAAAAGCTCTCCTTTCTCTTCTGACTTATGCGTCCCCTACCCCCGGCCCACAACACACATATATACTAAGGTAAGGCAGCAGCTTACAGGTCTCCACTCACCCTCTTCTCCATGTCGGACTTTCCCTGCTCAGCCTGCAATGCCTTCCGCATGCCAAAGGCAACACTGCTCTCGTACAGAGTCTGATACGCTGCAATCGTCATGCGGATTTCATCCCGCACGCGCAGCAACAGCAGCCCCCGTTCCGCACAGTTGATGGTCACTTCCCGGATCAGCTCATCTGTAAATTAGAGTGATTGGGGAGGCAGTGTTGTGAGGGACAGTTGATCCAGTAAAGGTTCCCCTTGACAGATGTCCAGTCATGCCTGACTCTAGGGCGTGGTGTTCATCCCCGTTTCCAGGCCATAGAGCCAGTGTTTGTCCATAGACAGTTTCTGTGGTCATGTGGCCAGCACCGTTTACCTTCCACGCCGTTTACCTTCCCACTGTGGTGGTACCTATTCATCGACTCGAATTTTTACATGCTTTTGAACGGCTAGGTTGGGAAGAGCTGGGACAAGCGACAGGGGGGTCACTCCATCCCGTGGATTCGATCTTACGACTGCTGGTCTTCTGACCTTGCAGCACAGGGGCTTCTGCGGTTTAACCCGCCACCATGTCCCCTTGATCCATTGACACCTGCTAAACAGTGACTGGCGCCCCTGGGATCAAGGACTAGCGCTTGAGGCCCAGTCCTTTGCGAGATCTCGTGGCAGCCTTAAGGGCAGTGGCTGAGGCTGCTGTCTGACCCCTGAGTGGTGCCCCTTTAGCGGCTCCGGCGGCCGCCGGTCAGAGAAAGGCAGCAGGTCCTGGGGGGGCAGGGATGGGGTGGAAACGGGGGGCGAGGCAGGAGCAAAGGCCCGGCGTCCCGCACTCACCGAAGCACTGGGAGTAGAGCTCTCGGCGGACGGGGCAGATGCCCGTCTCGCGGGCCTGGCGCTGCTGGAGCTTGAGGTCCAGCTCCTCCTGCAGGTGCACCACATCCATGCGGGTGCTGGGAGTGCTGGACACCTGCTGCACCCACAGCTGGTTGTCTTCCGTCCATTCCCTGCGGCAGAGCAAGCGGAGGTGGTCGGCCAGCCTTTCCCCCCAAGTGCCTTCCCCTCCCGCTCCCCTCCCGGCCGGGTCGCTCACCTGGGCGGCAGGATGGCGTTCAGGATCTCCTCGGCCTGCTTGCTGGAGTCCACCGAGGGCGGCGCCGGGGCTTTGCCCTTCGGGGTCGGGCCCGGGCCGCCGAGAGCGGGCGGCGTCGTCGGGACCGGCGGGGTCGCCTTCAGCGGCCGGGCCTGCGGGGCGAGGATGGCGGCGCTGCTGA